GCTACCATACTGTATTAACTGGTGTGGTGTATACTTTACTGTTACTTACAACTGTCACACTAATTTTATTACTCATTTCTCTGTGTTATATTTGGCAGTCTTTGTTTTACATCACTAATTTATACCTTTTTATTACATTCATTATTAAAAGTCGCAATTTCAAGATTGTGTAGTCCTAGTTAGCATTCTGTTCTCTTCTAATTTGTGCCCACGGCCTCTGATCGAAGAGGCATATAGTCGCACTCTTCTTTTAGAATGTGTGAGGGATAACCCGACCATACGCCTCTTCTGTCAGACTTCTTGGACACCAGTTAGAAGAGAACAGATTATAAGTAGGACTACATAATATATTTTGTTGTACGGGGATCCCCGCAAAATCCCCAGTGACGCACCTCACTGTGGCGTGGGAATGGCGACGAGCTAAGCAATGTCGAGGGACGACAAAATACAACTCTGGCAGCTTCAGACATGTCGAAAAGGCACTGCACCGTATCTGGCCGGCTAAGCTTGGATGGGTCGAGTCAGCTTGGCTAGCTGTTGGTAATGCAGTAAAAGTCAAGCAGCTATGCAAGCAAAAACGTAATGTGTGCTAAACAAACAAATACATTGTGGGAGCGAACATGAATGAAAGGTAATAAAGATGGGCTACAGTACCCTGCGCGCTCTTCGGTCCGGTTTACGGCGACGGGTCGGCAACTCGAGGGCGAGAAACTGTTAACAAATCTCGGGTGCTAACGACTGCCGCCACGGAATGACCTGGTTTACAACTGCATGTCACTATCGGGAAGTGAACTCACAAACCATCTCCAGGAAATCTAAAGAACATCATGTGACGTCCTCGATGTGTGTAAAACGCGACAAAGGTTCGAACAGATCGTACCTGGAGGGATGGAAAAACGATTTTGCTCGACTCTGGAGGGGACAGAGGAACGTTGATGAAGTTGGGTTTGTCGTTACAGGTTGCGGTCTCCGGAAATCGTCTTCTATCATTTTCACTCGTCGCGATCCGACGTGCTCCTCCTCCTGCTACACTTCAGTAAAACCTTCAGAGTTGTCCTCATCTACGCTCACATCACAGCCAACGATGACGGTGGGGTGGAAGTGTTCTATGCTGAGCTTGGTTCACATTAATCATCAAATTTACATATGCGGTCGTGCAAAGTGCGAAGCTTGGGCGAGGAGGGAAGGATGGAGAGAAGTATGTTTGCAAATATGGCATTGGCGAGAGGAACGACAGTCTTGTTACTGTAAAAGGGCGGAGAGGAAGGCAGTCGTGTAACAAATTCCTTGATTAAGTAATATGTGGACATTTTCATCAATTTTAATGCGGTAAATTACTTTTAAAGGCTGATCATGGCCCCGAAGCATCCGCAAGATGTCAGTGGAATAAATCACTGGTTGTGGGATAAGCCTCCTGTTGATCCGACAATATTACAGCAACAGCAGGCAGCACAGAGGCAGCAGGCTGAGGTTTGTTTGATATTGTATGTATTTATATAATGTTGCAAATGTGACTGAGGAACCAACCATTTCGTTTCATCCTCTAAGGATGTGGAGACTTTCCGCGCTGGATAAATGAGTGCCATAAACGTGTTAGTGTGCAAAAAGCAGTTAGGCCATAAAATTGAGTCCTGAAATCTGCTGAAAGTTGGAAGTTAGCTGTGACAAAAAACGAATGTATGACCTGGGAAGGCTGTGTTGGGTAGTTACTAAAACCGAGTTCGGCTTGGTCTGACACTTGTACTCTGTGGGCTTGGTTTGGGTGAGAGTTGCGAAAGCATAGTTGTACACAAGTACCGGGTGTTCTCTTCCAGTGACGTTTTGGAGTGCGAGTACAATCTTACTAGATTTCTGTTACCATCGAGTTTTATCTGTCATAAACCCAGATAGCGTTCCCTCTCAACCAAACAACTTTTGATAACTGCATCTTCTGACGGCAAAAATAAAACATAGGATGCCACATCTTTTTTTGCCGTTTGCATCCGTTCATCTTTTTTTTTGGAAATGATAGTTTATGTGTTTAAGAAGTTGCAACGTGCCCAGTTGGCTCAGCACCAGCAGCAACAGCAACAGCAGCAGCAGCAACAACAACAACAACAACAACAACAACAGCAACAACAACAACAGCAGCAACAACAACAACAACAGCAGCAGCAACAACAACAACAACAACAGCAGCAGCAGCAACATTTGCAGCAGCGGCGTTCTCAGGATGCTGTACCGAACACCGCTCTTTTGGCAGCGCAGCAGCAGCAGGCCGCTCTACTCCTGCAGCAGGTTTGTCATTATGCAACGTTATTTATGGTTCTGCTGTGCAGTTGTTTGATTCTGTATTCGCGGCAGTCTCTGAATTACATTTGCAATAACGCAGGGCTCTTCATTGTGTTGCTTCGCATGTTTTACTGAACATTTGCAGCAAAGGATACGAGCGGCACAAGCTGCAGTTCATCAGCAGCAGGCCAAGATATCTCCGTTGATGGGAAATCCAACCCTCATTGCAGGTAAAACCATAATCCTCTAATCGCCCAGTAAAAACGCTTGTGCTTAACACCTTACCGTCTCAGAATGAGACAGATTTTCATCATTTGCTTTCAGCAATGCAGCAACAGCTGCAGCGTGCTGCCGCAGGTAGCATCCGTGCTGCAGGATTGCCGCTATTTGCTCAACGTAGCGTGGCTGGCGGTGTTCGTGCTGCAAATGTAGCTCAACATGCAGCTGCCTCACTGGTCGGTCGTATTAGGACGCCTGCGCAGGTATTGCTTTATTACATCCGAGTCCTGATATCGGCGTAGGTCCTGATATCACATTTAAATGTTGATCATTTAAATTGTAATTCTGATCAAATCAACTGCGTTACAGGTAGAAAGATAAATTTCT